TGAACCACTGGAACCTGGCTATTTTTTTTATTAGTTTGCACTAGTTCAAAATGGAGTGACATTTTTTTGGAGTGACATTTTTAAATAATACATTATATTTAGTAAATGTGACAAGTACACAGGAATACACAGATGGTTTGTTATCCCCCCAAAAAAGCAATTAATTCTGCTTATGTGACAGAAGGCTTTAAAAAGAAAAACAAGTGACATAGAAGCCCAGCACTAAAGGTTAGTAAGTTTGTCATGTGGAAAAGAGCAGGAGACCCTGTTATTTTTCTCTCCTCCAATTCACTGCTAGGCTCTAGACACTCACTTAAACAAGAACTGAGTAATTTATCATGGCTATTTGTCCACTGGTCTGGGTCCCCCATTCATATGATTTTATTTGAGTATAGGACCATCATGTATTTTTCTTTATATGGTGGAACTCCAAAGGTGTTCAACAAAAAGGTTTTCCTTCAGAAGAGCTTCTCTTATATACTCAGTCTGATTCCATCTTCAAAGGCAATGATTAAAAAATAAATAAATAGCCAACATTCCATTGTCCTCTAAGAGAAAACTGAAGAGGAAAACATCACTGAAAACAAAACAGCAGCCCACCCCTAAGTCTCCTACTTTCTACTTTTCTCCTTGGAGTGCAGTGTCAAGAATCAATGTGTGGGGCTGGGAAGTTGGCTCAGTGGTAGAGCGCTTGCCTTGCATGCCTGAGGCCCTGGGTTCGATTCCTCAGCACCACATAAGCAAGAAAAAAGAAAAAAAAAGCCGGAGGTGGCGCTGTGGCTCAGGTGGTAGAGCGCTAGCCTTGAGCTGAAGAGCTGAGGGACAGCGCCCAGGCCCAGAGTTCAGGCCCCACTACCGGACCCAAAAAAAAAAAAAGAATCAATGTGTGTGTGTGTGTGTGTGCACACGCGCATGTGCACACGTTTGTATATACATGCATACATATGCATGTGTGTTCACATACATGTCATCTTGCTATGTAGTCCAGGATAGCCACTAAACCCAAATTCTTACTCCTTCAGCCTCTCCCATTAGTCTCTTGAGGACTGAGATTACGGTGCATGCGATCATGCCTTGCAGAAGACCTAAGTTTATATCTACACTCTGTTACTACCTAGAAAACCTCGGGAAACTCACGAGGCCCATTCTCTTCTCTGTGAAATAGACCTGGCACAACTGTTTGGGGCATTTCCTCAGGGAGATAAAAGAACATGACTGTCCTAAAGAAGTTTTGGTTGCGTTTTCTTTTTTCATGGTAGTACTAGGGATTGAGCCCAGAGCCTCACATTTGCTAGGAAGCTCTAACCTCTCTAGAGCTACACCTCCAGCCCTTTTTTTTTTTAAGATATGATCACTAGTTAAATGTGCCTGGGGCTAGGCCTTAAATTCCTGATCCTTCTTTGTCTGGCTCCCAGATAGCTGAGCTCACACGCTTGCCCCACCACACCCAGCTCCACAGTTGCTTCTTCATAAACACAACCTCTGAAGCAACTACCTTTCCTAGAGACCACGTGTCCAGCCACTGGCATCCCCAAGAGGAGAGGCCAATAGGGCACAAGAAGATCCTACCCAAAGAAACTATACCCACTGCCTCTTCTCACTGGTAAAAGACATGGTTAAGACTTGGTGAGAGGAGAAATACTTTGCCCTTTGCCTTTTTTTTTTTTGCCCCTCCTATTTGTGCCACATTTCCCCACATCAAATTAAGGATGACAAAAGAAGTCTTATTTTAGATGGCTAATGCTGATGGATTTAGCTGAACTCTAGACCAGGGCCCCAGAGGAAAGATGGCCATGTGTTCTTGCTGACGTGGACAAAGCTTACCCAGCCCGGCACAAGAAAGTGCTTTCCCAGAGAAAATGGTGTCCTCCATTCACCACCTCCGGAACTAAAGCTGCTTTTACTCATTCTGTGTTGGATAAAAGGCTTTTATTATATGCTTCCCTCCTTTGTAATACGGCCCCCCTTTTGGGGAAAAATCTGCAGTAATAAGCAAGCTAGTCTTTTCACAGAAGGTAAACAGAGTGGAGTGAACTTAAAACCTCTCTACTTTTTGTTTTACCCAACCACATAGCATTCCATATTGCTTTCAGTTCTTTTCTTCCCATTACCGTTAACAGTTATTTTTAAAGAATCAGGACAGAAGCAGGTCAATAATGCCTACGGATGTCATAAAAGTATTAGGCAGACTCTGCATAGAGAGAGAAGCATGCAAACAGTTGATGGGCTGAGATAATTAATAATCCTCCTTTTACCAAAATGTATTTTACCTATATTGCTATGTGCATAACAAGACGGTTCTGTTAAAACCTCACTGCACCAAGTTGCTCTCCATTGAATAACTATCATCTCTACCAAAGGGTGGTGTTTACAGAGCATTGATTTTAGGGGGGAGGGAAATGTTGCTTTTGGAGGGGAGCTGGGGGTTGGGGGTTTTGTTTTGTTTTTTGTTCTTTTGATGCTGGTCCTAGGGCTTGTGTTCAGGATGTGGGCCACTGTTCAAGGCTAGTGCTCTACCCCTTGGATCCACAGCTCTACTTCCAGCTTTTTGGTGGTAAATTGGAGATAAGAGTCTCACAGACTTTCCTGTCTAGGCTGGCTTTGAATTGTGATCCTCAGATCTCAGCCTCCTGAGTAACTAGATTATAGGCAGTATGAGCCACTAGCTTTCAGCTGATTTTCTTTCTTTAAGGGTACAGCGAGGACTATAAACAATGGTTAAAAGAGAAGAGAGAGATTCCATATCTTCTCTTCCTTGTTACTGTTTTTTTGTTGTTGCTGCTGCTTTTGTACCAGTAACAGGGCTTGAACTCAGGGCCTAGGAGCTGTCACTGAGCTTTTTCATTCAAGGCTGGTGCTCTACTGCTTGAGCCACAGGTCCACTTCCAGTTTTCCTAGTGGTTAATTTGAGTCTCAAGGACTGTCCTCCAGGGGCTGGCTTTAGATGATGATTCCCAAATCTTGGTCCTAAGTAGCTAGAATTATAGGTGCTGGCTTGTTACTACTAGGTTTTGCCTCTATGTCAAATGTTTCTCCCGCATTAACCCCTCCAACTTGCTTTTCTCTTCTTCTTCTTGAGCTAGGATTAGCTATGAAAGAGATTTGGCAGCAGAACAACTTCTCAGCCTTCTTCTCCTGGAGCTGAATGATGGTTATCATCTTAGGAAAGAGGACCAAGCTCTCTGATGCAGACATCACCCAGTAAATCTGCTGCAAAAAGAGGAGGCTTGCAGTATGCTGATAGCTCATGCCTGTAATCCTCGCTACTCAGGAGGCAGAGATCTGTGAATCACAGTTCAAAGCCAGCCCTGGAAGGAAAGTCCTCAAGACTCCTGTCTCCAATTAACCACCAAAAAGGCTGGAAGCAGCATTGTGGCTCAGGTGGTAGAGTACTTTCCTTGAGCACACAGTATGCCCAGGCTCTGAGTTCAAACCCCAGGACTCAAACAAGGAAAAAAAAAAAAAAAGAGGAAGCACATTGTATCTACCTGTTAATATCCTCAGGGCATCTGTAATTGATTGTGGGGAGGGGTTTGATGAAATTGGGTATCTTATCCTTTGTACAATTATTTAAAAATAATTTTTAAGACTACATATCACACTATTTTATATGTTCTTTCATATCTTCTATGTGTACTTGCGTGGTACAGTTTTATCACTACCAGCTACCAACTCCTGAATTGTCTGGAGGAGAGAAGATAGGAAATAAGACTTCAGAGACCACCAAAAATTAATTTACCAAAGAGCAAAGGAAACTTAAAACTAGGAAACAAAATAATAATTTTTAAAAATCCATTTTACTCTGCTTTGAACTAAAGTATTTATTACTAATAGTATTAATCATACTGTAGCTATATAGAGAACTAATACAGCTGAAAACTTAAAATATAATTTTAAACAACCCAATGAATAATTCCAATATGTCAAAAATTTTACAAATAACTTCTTTTTTTTAAAGACAGTTTCCCTATGTTGCTTTACAGCCAAAGCTGACCTCAAACTCATGATTTTCTTGCCTTAACCTCCCAAGCAGTAAGATTACATGTGTGAACCACCATACCAACCCGGCTTCACAGCCAATTTTTATAACAGTTCTTCCTCTGAAATTTTTTAAATGAGGTTTCACAATTTACAGCAGTGATAGTCACTTTAATAACCACTGGGAACTTTTGATTAATTTTCTACCAGAGATAGGTTTAGAAATATTTGGTCTATCAAAACTGCAATTTTAAAAGTAAATTGTATTTCTATCTAAAAACAAAAATGGGCAGTATTGCATCCTCTCCATTTTTTCATTTTCTACCCAGTCCCTCTTCTTACTGCTTTTCCTCTTCCCTAAATGTACAGGAACTGTGTATATATTAGCAAACATTCAAAAATTTTAAGAAAACGCTTTCAGAGGCCAAAAGAACATAGTTTATAGAAGTAAGTACAATTGAACTATTTAATAGTCAAAAAAAAAATTAAGACTGCCAAACTCCTGAAAATACCCGGCAGGCTTCTCCCACTTCGCATTGAATGTTTTTTAACTTCCGGTATGCTAATCACACAGCTAAAAGCAAATGTACAAAAGGTTTATGGAGCTCTCTGGCTAACCACCAACGGCTAATTCCAGAGGTCTCTCCAAGATGGAGCACACATGGGTAAGTGCCAAAGGCAAACATCTCAGACCTTCCAGTCCATCCCCAGATACAAATTGCGGATGCAGAAAAAGTATGATTCTGGGAGCCCTGGACTGATTGGCCTGGTACCTTGCTGTACATTTAGCTGTGCGGTTAATCTCCCAGAGGGGCATCTACACTGGCATCCCTGCTATTCTCTACCATCTGGAGTGTGGAGTTGATATGAGCTTGAACCATACATGCAAGAGAAAAGAAGAAGAAAGAAAAAGAACCTCATGCACTCACATTTAACTGAAATCCATAGCTGAACAACATACTACTTTGCCTAGGCTTTCCCACAGTAAGAAAAGAGAAAAAAATGAAGAGTAAAGTACAAACCTTCTCCTTGGTTTTCTGGTTCTCTGCTCTGAGGTCTTCATATTCACCTATTGCTAAAAAAAGAAAGAAAGAAAAAAAGAAAAAAAACAAAACAATATTACAACTCTGTCATAAGTTTACTCTGAGATCAACTCCCCCTTCACCCATCAACTACGTTTACTAAATTGAGATAGGGTAGAAAAGGTCAGAAAAAAAAAAACCTGCTTTCTTTTAAATGTGCATTTTTATTATCTCTAAGTAGCTGTAGACATGGGTTTACATTCAACATGTCTATTTATGAGTTCCATGTATCTTAGTGTCACCCCTTCATTGTTCTCCCTCTCCCATGTACCCCAGTCCTACCCTTCCCTCAAGTTTCCGGGTTCCATTTTCACATATGTACATGATTACTCTTTTTTTTTTAAGAAGAGATCATAGCAGATGTGTTTCTACCACACTAAATTTCAGTTCTCCCTAGGTTACAGGAAGATGGCTGAGGCAGAAGTGACCTAAGCCCCCTCTCCTCTCCAGTGCTCAGCGCTTGGTCCTAGGAGAGGAGTTGGACATGGGGTGTCCCTGAAAGGCTTCCCTGTCATTGTAACCACAGATTTATTTGGAAAATTGACCACTAAGAAAAAAAAATTGATTTGGACATTTAGTTCCATGTCCATATCTACTTTATCTAGAGCAAAAGTTTATGCTATGAACATTCAACTAAGAATGATTATTTTTTGGCAGTCATCAAACAATGACCAGAAATCTCCAGACTAAATTACTAGGTCAGAAATACATGTAAACAGGATATAGTTACAATTGTGGTAGGCAGGTTGTTGCTACATAAAATACTCTGTTGCTAAAAAAAAAAAAAAATTAAACAACCAGAACCTATATGTTCAACTTTTGGCAAAAGCACTATTCTTTGAGTATCTCACAGTTAAGATATAAAGTTTGTCAGGCATTGTCATCTTAGCATCTGAAGAGGCTGACCTCTAAGGATCAAGGTCTGAAACCAGGCTGGGCAAGAAAGGCCATGAGAATCTTATCTCTAACCACCAAAAAGCCAGAAGTAGAACTGTGGCTCAAATGGCAGAGTGCCAGCCTTGAGCAAAAAAGCAAAAGGATAGTGCTTAGGCACTGAGTTCAAGGCCTGGTACTGGCACAAGACAAAAAAGAACATAAAGTTTGTAGCAATGACCTAAAATGGATGATGGAGCAGAAAACAGAAGATAAGCCTAGAACTGCTGCTCACCCCGCTCCAGCCAGATAGCACCAGATAGTCGGTGAATCTGAGGTTGAACTTTAAGGTTTTCAAAATTGAAATTGAAATATATCTACAAAAAAAATCATTAAAAAATAAGACTAACAGGGATTATTTCTTTGAACAATCTGAAATCAGATCTACCAAAAAAAAAAAACTAAAACCATCCCAGATAATCTGATCAATTCCAGAAATACATAACTCTAACTACTAGGGTGAATAACACCCTAGAAATAAACAATTAACAAGGAAAAATATTTGCTTTGTTCCCAACAGTGATCTAAAGGGTTTATAATACTTGCTGAGTAGCACAGAAATCTTAAATATCTAATTCATATCAATAAATGTTCATGGGATTATACTATCAATGTCCAGATATTTTATAGCATCTATTACTATAAAATAATAATTTAATTGAAGCCATAACCCCCTAAATCCCTTGAACATTAAGTAGCTCATAATACAGTTCTGAGTTTATACATATGTAGATAATACATATATAGATACAGTCCTTTTGAAAATTACTATTTTTCAACATAAAAAAATTTTTATGGATCATACAATGAAACCCCCTGTAGTTCAACTGCTTATCAGCTGAACATATACCTCAAAGGCTGAATGTAAACCAAATTGTCCTTGAATTTAAAAAAAAAAATCAGGGGCTGGGAAGGTGGCTCAGTGGTAGAGCGCTTGCCTTGCATGCCTGAGGCCCTGGGTTCAATTCCTCAGCACCACATAAGCACAAAAAGAAAAAAAGCCGAAGTGGCGCTGTGGCTCAGGTGGTAGAGTGCTAGCCTTGAGCTGAAGAGCTGAGGAACAGCGCCCAGGCCCAGAGTTCAGGCCTCACGACTGAACCCCCCCAAAAAAATCAATGAGATGTTCCCCCTGTTAAGTAAGAATAAGACTACATATCTGTACTTATACCACTGGGAAGTCTATGCTCAAGGCCCCAAATCTTTTTGTTGTACCTAATATTGCTTCAAGAATTAACACAAATACTTCACTGAGAGACTTTGACTTAGATGACTTGACATTCAAAGTATTTGTAGTTAAAGTTAAATAATCAAAATGGATTTAATACTCTATTGGTGAGCTACTTTATCGACATACACACAAACGAAAATGGTTTACAAAACCATAATTTCATGTTGACATTAAGAAATTCCTAATTTAAAATGTTGGATAATGGTTCTGAAGATTTTAAAATGTCCATGCTATTCTATTATACTAACAATAAGCCCAAGATGAAACATCATAAACTCATTACTGGGTCTTCTTCAAAAACATTAAGGAAGAGCCCTTCAACAATCCTATTTTAATGGAAATGACATCTTTCTTGTGACTATAAGCAACTTTAAAAAGATAGGGCACAAAGAAAAGAAACAAAAAAGTAGAGGAAGAATTTGACCACCTGGTGATGCACAGAGATAATTTGGCCAAGACATAAAAGGGAAGAAAGGAGTTTGTAAGGACGTTTAAAAGTCATATTCACCACCCTAAATAATATTTATTCACAGGGGCTGGGAAGGTGGCTCAGTGGTAGAGTGCCTGCCTTGCTTGCATGAGGCCCTGGATTCAATTCCTCAGCACCACATAAGCAGAAAAGCCAGAAGTGGCGCTGTGACCCAAGTGGCAGAGCGCTAACTTTGAGCTGAAGAGCTGAGGGAAAGCGCCCAGGCCCAGAGTTCAGGCCCCATGTTCTGACCAAAAGAAAAAAAAAATCACATACACAAAATCGCATTGCTTGGGAGACTTCTGTACTCAGTTTTACAGCTACAGCATTGTGTCACTGCGTTGTAAGGTCACAAATGACAGTAACATATGGCTAACTCCCAGCCCGATCACCAGTAGTGGGAGGACTTGGACAGGTAAGGTCCTCTTTTGAGCCCTTGGGTTCCACCGTGTGTTGTTATAAAAAGAAAAGGAGTTAATATACATGATTATTCAAGGCACATGAACTGGTCCATCCAATGTTGGCCAGAGTACTCACTACCGAAAGCTCATTGAATCTTAGGGCATGACCAGCAATCAGGTGGCCCTCTCTGATGTCCTGAGTTTCAGGTTTACTTTTGTCTCATATGGTCTAAAAGATAGCTGACTGGAAACAAACAAACGAACAAAAAATCTGAAACCCAAGGTCCTACTCTTCTCCAGTAAAAAAGGAAGGGAAAAGGGAGCTAAAGATCAAGTTCAAACCATTAGTTAGTGTAGAATAATGTGGCCAAGGCATGGAAGCATGGCTCAGAGCCATTCTTTCTGATCCTGCCCGCTCCTCAGAATCAGCCAGAGGTTTTGCAACCCCACAGGCCCCAGCCCCCTCTCCACACTCCCCTTTCCACAAGATTCTGATTTAGCTCATGGAGGGTCTAGTTGAGGCATCTTTACTGCTTTTTGTAAGGGGTTCTCAAGCAATTCTAATGTGCAACCAAAGTAGAGAACCACCACATAACAGTACGTAAAGGAAGAAAAAGGACGGTTTTGGAGAAAACGAGGATAATATCAGGCAGAGCACGTGTTGCAAGAATCATGCTGTTTTTCCATTTCCTAACTCCCTAATGCCAAGTTTTCCTCCCACGCCACAAATCATGACATAGCCAGCCCAGGAGGCAGCTGAGTAGACTTACTTGTTTCAGAAATATGACAACTGAAGTTCATAACTACAAGCCACTAACAACACTTCGGGGAGGATTGGTACCCGGCTTGCTTGGGACCATCTGCGTTAGCACTGGAAGTCCAGTGTCCCTGGCAAACCTCTCCATCACTGGCAGCCTAATCACTCTCCTTCTAGCATCTTCTCACACTATCATTTCCAACTGACATTTGCCAGATAGACTTGCACTGCCCAACAAGGCAGCCATTGCAGCTATTTCCATTTTAAGCAATTAAATACAATGTAAAGTTCCAGTTCTTCAGGTCCCTTTTGAGCATGTGGTTCAAAGACAGCAAGCCAGACACTGGACACAGAATCTTCCCAGCATAGCAAGCTGCTACTACCAGTTCTATTCTGGGTATCTCTGTCGAGCTACCTCTCAAGTACTTCAACCTCAACCACGTAAGACAGAACTCAACACACTCCCTCCACCCAATTTTCTGTTTCCTGCAGGAATATTTCCTTCAGTTGTGTCACCATCCACTCATCCCTCAAGATGGCACCTACAGATACCTTGAGTCTACTTTCTACTACCTCCAAAAAACCATCATACTCCCCTGGTCTTGAAAGAATGCCTCTCCAATCTATTCTTCCCTGTAGCCAAGTTCTCAACCCTGAACTCAGACTCTCAACAATGAGGACGGAGCTTCTCTCTCTCCTCGATGTGTTCATTCTTCACAAGGTAGTTAAGCACACTGACAAAGCAAGCTGATTATTTTACTTTCTTGCTTATAATCCTGCAAAGACTTGAGCACCATAAGCTGGAACCACTGCTCTCTTCCTGTCTTTTGAGACTCAGAAACTAACTAACCCACTCCATCACACCCAAAGTTTCAATGCTACCTGGACCATACCCAAATCCTGTACACCTTTTGCAAATGTTCTCCATTCAGCCTGCAGGTGTTCCTCCCCCTTTGCAATATAATTCAGTTGTCTTCTATGCCCCAGGCAAAGTGAGTGTTCATAGTTTAAAATACTACCAAGTACCCTGCTCATATTTGGGCTGAAAATCCCTCACTCTGAAATCCAGAAGGACTTCAGATTTTTAGAGTAGGAATGCTCAAATAGTAAAGTGCATGTAAATATTCCAAAATCCAAAAAGACCCCAAATCTGAACTAAGCATTTTGGCTAATGCATACTCAGCCCGTACCTCTAAAAGAGCTCCTACATATGACATTATAAACTACATGCATGCAATTGTATTTCTTGCAATTCTCCCACTTCATAGTGATATATCCATTTTATTTGGCATAAAGACATCTATGTTGAATGGTTAAATTCTACCTGTCTTTTATGCCAAATAATTAAGGAAAATACACCTCCATTTTGCAAAAGAAGACACAAATGCAAAGAAGTCAAATTCCACAGCAAGAAATGGAAGCAGTACCTGTCTACAGATTCCCAAAGTCATTTGTAAGAAAAATAGACATTACTGAACATTATTACTGTGTCCAATTCAACAAAGCACTAAAAGGGAAACAATCCTCTAGGGTGAACACTATGTCTATCCATCCAGATGCCCTAGTCCAGCACAATGCCCCATTTATACTAGGCATATGATAAATATGTGCTAAACTCAGGAGGAAGGAAAAATGGATTTAAATGTTCACATCAGCAAATCATGAATGAGCTCATACTCTCTTCCCCCATCAACATACTTAATTGAAATGAAACTTTTAAATAGCTACCAGATGTAACCAGAAAACCACTGCCTCATGAGATCTTCTAATGTAGATTTGCATCCACTGAGTCTGTATCTTTGAGACTTGGGGAGCCTTGAGACCTTATTAATGGACAATGAGAACATGAGTCACAAAAGACAGTGCTAATTAGGACATGATTCCCTTCTGCACACATCCCAATGGGTCTTCCTCTTAACGCCATAGTATAAAAGAAAAGCCATTTATATCTCACTTGTTAATTACGTCATATAAAGGTAGAGAAAACACTACTGGAAAAGCCGACCCAAAAAATAAATAAAGGTGATAGATTTCAGATCAGGAAAGAAATGATGGCAAACCTGAGATTCATTCAGACTAGGTAGAATACATAATCTGGTGTTAATGAAGTAATGATACTTAAGAAGTACACTCAACATACATTAATGACTTCTCATGATCAACAGAAAAGCAGAGAACCAAGTACCTTTAAAATTCATAGGGAGGTCTAATTTCTGGTCTGGCATAAGTAGTTTGTAATTCACTCCATCCTCATGACAATAAAGAAAACAAAACAAAAGTGGATATAAACAACTCTACTTAGATCCAACAAAGAAATGAGGTCTCAGGGCAAGCCACCATCTGCAAAACTGGAGAAACTTCCTGGCAGATACAGAGGACATAACTATAAGACCAGACGCCCACAAACAGAAACCTCCTCTCAAGAACCAGCACCAACACAGGAAAAGCTTAACTGTAACTGCCCAATTGTTGGAGGCTCCATTTGAACTGAGTTTAAAGAATTTAAAATGCCAGGGATGGCAGTGCAGCAGGTGAAAGGATTCTGGGAAACTTTTCAGGTCAGAGAAAATTTCTCTACAACTTCTACCAGGTAGAGGAGAAAACGAGACATTCTGAAAGATGCTTAGAAATTCTGCTATCCTTAAGGCCTGACCTTCAAGAGAAACTATTACTGGAGCCTAACAGACTTTGGAGGGAGGGTGGGGAAACCAAGTATAGCCTGTCCCGTCTCGCCTAAGAATGTAAAAAAAAGAACACTTCCATACTTTACCACCACATAAAACTTTCCAAACTTGAAGCAACCAAGATTATCTTCAATAGGTGAACTCATGTTTTAAATGCTTTGTATGTTTTTTTTTCTCAAGTGCATTCCTTCTATATTTCAAAGTAAAGCCTAGCTATATCTCAGCTTTAAGGAATAAAATCTATTATTGGCCAGGTATGTGACTCAATAGTACAATACTTGGCTCACATACAGAAGGTCCTTGGTTCCTTTCCCTGCACCACAAAAACAAGAAGTGTAAAAGTCTAAAGCAGAACAAAGCTTAAAATATACAGACATTTGGATCCATCAATTCTTTCTGTGTATGAGGGGCAGGGCAGGGGTGTATTAGGGGCTTGAACTCAGGCCTTTAATCCTCACTTGGCTGTTTTACCCACAGCTGTCATTCTACTCCAGTTCAGCATTTTTTTTCCTTGCTGCTTAACTGTAGATAAGAGTCTGGAAGAATTGCCTGCCCAGTTTGGCTTTGCACTGTGATCCTTGGACTACAGCTTCCTGAGTAGCAAGGAATACCTCTGGCCAACAATTCCTCTTTATTAGCCAGGCACCAGTGGCTCCTGCCTGTAATCCTACTCAGAAGGCTGAGATCTGAGGATCATGTTTCAAAGCCATGAGACTCATACTTCCAATTAACCACTAAAACACCAGAAGTGGCACTGTGGCTCAAGTGGTAGAACACTCACCTTGAGCTGAAGAGCTCAGGGACCACATCCAGGCCCAGAGTGCAAGCCCCACAACCAACAAAAAAAGAAAAAAAAATGCTTACCACATAAATACTCAATTATTTGTAAATTAAAAAAATAAGACTTTGTAAAAGAATTCCTCCCCCACAGCCACACTTACATAGGTGTGTGTATAGCATGTTAGTGGCATTATTTTTTTTTTAGTTTTACATATGTTAGGTATCAAAAAACCCCACAAAGACAGTAAGTACAAGGCCTCTCGGTATCCACAAGGTATTGGTTGTCAGACCATCACGCACACCAGAATCTGGAAGATCAGGCATAGTCTCCTGTATTCTTTAAATCTCATTCAGATCACTCACTTATCATACCCATGGACTGTAAATGCCACATAAGGAGTTGTTACATTACTTCAGGGGATAATAAGAGAAAAGCCCGCACATGTTCCATTTTCTCTTCAAGTATTTCCAATCTGAAGCTGGTTGGATGCACAGATATGAGTCTGAAGGGCAGCCTATACTTACACCCATTACTTACATCTTGGTGTGTTTGTTACTATTAGTAGACTGATATGAATGCATTATGATCTTATTCAGACTTCCTTTACTTCTAACCTAAAGTCCCATTTTCTGTTCCAGGTCCCCACCTGCCATATTGCCATATTCCTTTTGCCCTGTCAAAAGGAATGGCTCTTGTCTGTTTCTCAGACTTTCTTGCATTTTGACCTCCTAGACAGGTTATTTTGTTTATTTCTAGAGAACGTGGCAGCTTTATTAGAGTGTTGACCAAGTACTTTGTAGAATGTGTGCAAATTGGAATCTGTGATATTTTCCTCTGAGTAGATTGGGCTTTGGGTGATTTTGGTGTGTGTGTGTGGAAAGAACAACAAAGATAAATGTGGCCATTTGTACAACATCATGTTCTCAGCATGACTCATCAGGGCACTGATGCCATGGGTCACCTGGCTGAGCTAGTGTCCTCCCTCCAGTATTTCTACTGTAGAGTTACTCTATCCCCATTTTTTCACTGTGAGCTTTGGGGGTACAAAGATATAACAGTCCCCATTTAAGGATGAGGGTTCTCTGCTACATCTACTACATGAATCATAGGAGTGAAGCAGGCATTGGGGGTAGGAGAGAGTGAGACAAGAAAAAGAAAATCTTTCAATGACTTAGGACATTCCAAATGGTCATGCTACATAAAATGTCTAGAAGGGTCCATGAAAAAAACAATATGTTAGAGGGAATAGACCACACAGCCTGGGCCTCTTTTGTCAAAATTGGCTCTAGCCACTTTTCTGACCCAAAAGCCAAGGGGACAGTGGAAGTATTGTGGATTACTAACTCAGCTCTAAGAATAAGCTTGACTCCGTTTCCACCTGAACCTTACATATGTCTTAGTAACCTAGGGGAAATGACACTGACTCAATATGCAAGCAGGTTAACTTGGTTTAAAAAGCAACCATCTGAGCTGGGAAGGATGGCTCAGTGGTAGAGCACTTGCCTTGCATGCATGAGGCCCTGGGTTCGATTCCTCAGCACCACATAAGCAGGGGAAAAAAAGCCGGAAGTGGCGCTGTGGCTCAAGTGGTAGAGCGCTAGCCTTGAGCTGAAGAGCTTAGGGACAGCGCCCAGGCCCAGAGTTCAGGCCCCACGACCGGACCAAAAAATAAATAAATAAAATAAACAAATAAAAAGCAACCATCTTAACTTAGAAAATCCACATTAAATAGTAATTTCCCAAGAGCAGCTAGTAACTTCAGAGGTTTTGTTTTATTGGTGTTAGTATTAGGCCTTAGCTAACAAGCATGAGGCTCTAGGTTCAATCCCTAATACTATACACACATAACTCATTGTCATTCTCTCTCTCTCCCTTTCTCTCCCACCCTTTTCCCCTCCTCCCCACCACCATTGTGAAAGGCAATGCATTCACTCTCATCAAAATGTCATCAACAAGCTCCAAGTGACATGGCACTGTTACAATGACCCATCTAGTGGACACCTGTTGTTTATGTGGGCCCCATCTGCACACTTCCTTCAGTAAGGATTTACAACAACTACTCCAACTTGGGTTTTTCTCGAAGGTGCCAGTGAGGATGCTCTCTAGCCAAATGCCTTGAATTCATGACCCCCCAACTAGGCCAATCAGACACATATTCTTGGCATTCACATGCCCTCACCAGCAAAGACCAGGTCTTACTCCGCTCTTTATCGTGGATGCCTAACCCACTGCCTGGCTATGAATATTCAGTGCACGTGAACTGAATTAATTACACAGAAAATCATGCACCTTAAAAACAAATGCTGAACCAAGTCTATCATTTTCCAACAGAATTCTGAAGAGAGAGAAAATTGTATGATGTTTTGTGAGGGAAATGTCCACTTTTAGTGACTAGGAAATATGCATCGGAAATAGTATCCAAAGTTGCCATTTCTTGGGCATTAAAGATGTCAATCAGTCCAA